CGTTTCCCATTCCTCTTGATACCGGCGATGTTCTTGAGATCCCGAAACTGGTCAAGTATATTTCCTATTTTTGCTCTATTCCTCGCCATCAGAACTGCATGCATTTCCTTTTGTATCAGCTTGGCGACGCGCCTTTCGGAAGGCTTGTCCCTCCGAGCACGGGCCTCCTTCCTCTCCACGAGCAATTTGTTCAGCTTCTCCTGGCAGCGCTCCCTCGTGTTGGTGTTCACCTGAACGCCTTGCTTAAACTCCCGGCCAAGATGCAAAAGCATATCTTCTATCTGTTTGCACCGATCTTCCAACGACCCGTGCGCCGAATAATATTTGTCAAGATGCTCGTCCAAAGCCGCGCGGTAATTATCTCGATCCAATGCTTGCCAACCGTGCAATGAAACATATTTGTCAGTATGTTGCGTGTTCTTCTTATCCCTGGCGCGGGCAACCACTCGAAACACAGACCTCACCGAACGATGATCTGCCCCTAAATTGATGTCGTATCCTGCTTCGCAATCTTTCGGGATGAGCCACCTCCTCTTTTCAAACAAAATGTAATCGATCTGCCGCTCCACGTTGTCCTGTACATGAGTCCACTGCTTCTCGAAAGGTTTTCTGAACATCGTGTTCAAAATCCGCAGCTTTCTCCCGGATGCCCATTGTACGAGTAACTGGCCTCTGTCATTCCTCACTCCAGCCCCATGCTTGCCTAAAACTTGGGGGTCGTCGCCTGGCCCAGGCCCGCCAACAACAGCGTTGAAGTCACCAAATAACACTACAGTGCGGTTACTCCGGCGACCTCGTACACATACTTCGTCCAAAGCTGCGTACACTGCCTCAACTTCGACCTCATCGTCCCAAGAAATTGGCATATATGCAACTACTACCCTGAAGCGCCGTCCCACCACATCCAAATCAACGGCACATAGTCTTTCAGAAACCGGGTGGAAAGCACGAAATCCCTTGACCCACCGCTTGTTAAGTAAACATGCAACACCACGGCCGCCTGGTTTCCCACCTGCGCCTAAAAATAAATGCCCTGCAGTGGTCCAGATCTCGCTGGATTGCTCCCGCCACGTCTCATTCAAGGCGACGATGTCCCACCTCACCATATCCAGCTCCTCTAAAAGCAGCTGCTCGCGAACCTCACTCTTGATAGACATGACGTTTTTCAATAAGCAAATCAGCTCTACAAACCCATCCCGCCCAATTGCTACAGATATGCTGTCTTCCTCCGTCCCGCCTGTGCCCTGTATGTCCTGTCCAATAGCGGGAATCGCAACCAACTCGCTGGCCCCCTCCTCCTGCGTATCAAGATCCTTCTCGGCCGTAAGCGTAAAATCCTTCTGAAGATCAGTCGCGTCCGGCAGGCAAACCGGAAAGTCCCCGGGAGCATCACAATACTTTCCCCTCCCTCCTCCTCTAGATCTGCAAATAGTGTAACCTTCAAGTGGATATGCTTGAACAAGTACGTGTCCTCCTTCTCCTCCTTCTCCTTTTCCCCTCTCTGATTCCTGCCTCCTGGCTTCCACTGGTCACTCGCTCTCCGCGTCTGGGTCGGGTGACCTTTTCTTCCGCCATTTCTCCATGGATGTGTCCACGTCCGCTTGCACTGATTTTGCTGACGCTGATGTGCACCACTCCCCTTGCTCGTTGTACCATGCCACCTTCCTCTCCTTCCCAGACTCGTCCTTAATGACCACAATACTTTTTGGCCATATGATTTTCCATTCCTTGTTTTTGAATTTTTCTGAAAGGTGGTATTTTGTGTACCCCGATCGTTTTTCTTGTTCTTCTTCATCTTTCGTTAAGTTGTTGCGGAAAAAGATATCTCCCAACATGTCCTTTACATTCCTGGTGTCCCGGATCTTCTTATAGAATTCCACCTTTTTCGGCGCCGATTGGAAGGATAGGAGCCCCATCTTTGAAGGATCCATGGGGGAAGAAACTGCGATACCGTGATCGTTCCCCATGAGCTTCTTCAGCATGTCCTCCAGCTGCGACACGATTACGTCGGCCGCCACGCGCTCCTCAAAGCCAAAAGCGAGAACCTGTTTGGCACGTTGTTCGGATTCTGCGATATCTTCTCGTAGGTGTGTTTGCTTTGACCCCGATGTTGATGATGCCGCCCCTGCAGTCCTCATTGATTTTAGTGTTTCTTTTATTTCTTTGACGTCTTTCTCGAAGGTCCGGTCTTTCCCCTTCATCTCGGCAATGTCCTTCTGTACAGCGGTCACCTTTTCCATAGCCGCTTCTGCCGTTGCAGTGGCTGTCTGCGCAAGTACTCGAGTCTGTGCCATACCCGTCTCCATGTTTACCATCATGTCGTAGATCTTATCTATTTTTTGATCTTTGGATAATGCTTCCGACTTGAACTTCTTGTTAGTATCCTCCGGCGAGTTTCGTTCTGACCCGGCTCCCTTGCGATCTGAACTCATTCTCTCTAGCCTGTCGTACACTCCACGTACCCTCAGACGAGAAAGTTATATCGAGTTGTATTCGCGATGCGATTGAACCGATCTGGCTTGAACCGATCTGGCTTGAACCGATCTGGCTTGAGCCAAAATGGCTTGAGCCAAAATGGCTTGAGCCATGTATGGCGGCCGCTTGGGCCTGTGGCGTCATACGTCCGCTTGTGACGTTGAGCCATG